CGCTCGGCAGGAACGCAGCGGCTCAGCGAATCCTTTTTTTTTTTTTCTTTAAATTTCTTTTTCCTGAATAAAAGCAAGTTTCTGTTCCAGCCTCTTCTAAAGATCAGATGGAAAAGATTAGAGAAGCCAGAGGAGTGAATGGGGAGCCGGCCGCTGCGCTCTAATCTCCCCCCCTTCTTTTCGGCGATAGGTTTTCGGTAACAATATCCCCCTTTCGCTTTGAGGCGAGAGCTGGCGGCGAGGCCCCTCGGTGTCACGCTGCCGCCGCCACCTCCGTCCCCTCCCACCCAGATGAGCCTGACCCCTCTGCCAAAGCCACCACAGCTGGGGCACAGCTGGATGGGGCAGGGAGATGAGGGGGGGACACACTGCTTACACCATGATGTCCCCAAAACTCAGACTTCTGCTTTTCTATTTTTATTTTAACCCTATTTTGCCCCCCTTTCTCCCTTCCCCGTAGGTCTCCGACCTTTGCCGGTGGCCTCTTTGCCATCTCCAGGTCCTACTTTGAGCACATCGGCTCCTACGACGATCAGATGGAGATCTGGGGGGGCGAGAACGTGGAAATGTCCTTCAGGGTAAGGATGGGTCGGTACCATCTTCAAAGGGCGTCTTCAGGGATGCTCTTTATTTGAGGGGGGGGGGTTGGACCCCCCCTACATCTCAAGCGTTGCCTTCCCGTAGGTCTGGCAATGCGGGGGTCAAGTCGAGATCATCCCTTGCTCCGTCGTGGGTCACGTCTTCCGCTCCAAGAGCCCCCACACCTTCCCCAAGGGCACCCAAGTCATCTCCAGGAACCAGGTCCGCCTGGCCGAGGTCTGGATGGACGACTACAAGGAGATCTTCTACAGGAGGAACCAGCAAGCTGCTCAGATGGCCAGAGAGGTACTGGGCACGCCGGCGGGCTTCTCGTTCTGCCGGGGAGGGGGCCTGATCCTGCTGGGAGCTTAAGCCTGAGCAGAGGGAGGAGGTGGGCTCAGCCTGGAGGTGGGAAGGCAAACACAGGTGGAAAGATGTATCCAAAAAATCCAATTTTTTTTCTATTTGGCCATGATGTTTTCTAGTAAAAAAACATCTATTTATTTTTATTTTACTTTTTTTTTTTTTTAACGTTGTGCTGTGATGCCAAAATGTCCCAGGCCGTTTGGTGAGTGGCCGGAGCCTGAGGGTACCTGCCAGGGGCTGGGGGGGGGGGGGAGGAACGGGGGGGGTTAGCAAGACCCCCCCACCGGTCTCGGTCCTGGGCACACCGTGACGGCCGATGCCAAAGCCGGGAGGACCCCTCAGCTCGGAGCCTCAGCTGGGGGAGGGTTTTTTTGTTTGGTTTTTTTCCTTGCTGGCTCTGGAGGTTAGTTTAATTTTCTCACGTGACTTTGCCGATAGAAGACGTATGGTGACATTACAGACCGGCGCAAGCTGAGGGAGCAGCTCCACTGCAAGAATTTCACCTGGTACCTCCAAACCGTCTACCCGGAGATGTTCGTCCCCGACCTGACTCCAACTTTTTACGGAGCCGTAAGTACCGGAGTGCCTGGAGCATCCCGCTGGGCTCAGTCCTTGGCTAGAAATAGCAACGGCAGTAAAAGCCCCAAAAGGTTGGGTTTGGGGATTTTTACATTTAAACCGACGTGCCGGGTTGGGTGCGGCCAGTGCGGTCACCACGTCCGTCACCGGCTGGTGGGGCCGGTTCGGGCTCTGGCTGACGGCGAAGGAGCTGGAATCCGGCAGAGCTGGTTTGGGACGAGTTACGGGGTTGGGGACCCGCGGGGACGTGGCATTGGGTTAAATTGGGTGAAAGAGCCGAAAGCTTCCGCGAGCGCCGCGCTGGCATTGACGTGCGCAGGGTGGACTTGAA